ATCAAAACAGAAACTCTCAGTTCAACTTCATTTCGACATGGAGTCGGAAAATAATGCCTACAGAGTCAGGGAATATATGCTTTAGTTTAATTTAATTACGGTTATAACGTATTTGTCATCTGCTTGTATCCACTATTAATACAAGCCTGCTGTCTGTTTTACTCCAGAAAATCACCGTAAGAGCCGAGAGTAAGCACAGTATAAGAAGTGCGCAAGTATATATACAAATTTCGGTAGAGAAGAGGGAGCGTTTTTTTTTTTTTTTTTTCAAAAACAAAATGAATCCAACTGGTCTTTAGCAGCTGGCTCAGATTTCGGGAGTAAATAGAGAGAGCAATGTGGATTAATACATCCAGCCACACAACAACTACAAGGCTTGGGAGACATTCTAATCAGTGTAGCATTTGGTGGATGTGTACTGTGAATTCCATCAGGGCGGTTCTATGTTAAAACGACAGTGTCTGTCAACATTCATGGGCGGGGCCTGTGGCTGTAGTGACGCCACACCAGCCCCATAAGTTATAACAGGTCGTTGGGAGACACTGCTTATGATTTATGGGGATTTTTATCACTAGAGTGGTTGTGTACACACTGCTAACACACATTTCTGTCCAAACACCATGCAAAAGTGAATTTTGCATAATAGGTCCCCTTTAAAGGATTCAATCACGGGAAATCAAATACATTTGAGCACTTGCAACAGTCAATAGAAGTATTTATAATAGTAAATCATTGTATCTTTACCTCTATTCTTTAACTTCCTCATTGCATTGCCTGACTTGCTCTCTCGCTTGAACAGACAGCCGAGCTCACAACTACTGCTGTTGCTTTTGGCAGTTAAACGCAAACCAAAGCTTTAATGCTCACCAGGGTGAAAGTTAAACAAACAATTTAAACACAATGTTCCAGGACACATATTTTTCCATGAGCTAATATGATTTTTAACATAACAATACAGCAGTCAACAATGAAACGTTTAAAAAAAAATCATTCTAATTTTTTAGCTTAATAGCTTTAACAAGAAGAGCGAATAGTCATTGCCTTCAGTCATAAAAGAGCACAGCACTGACCATTAAATAAAATCCATTTGCCATCCAGTTTCACTCACAATATCTATGTCCATGAGATACGATAATAAAAGTCCATTAGTAAAACCAGAAGCTGCATTACTCTTTAGGATACTAAAGATAATGTATGTCAAATACTCTTTGAGAGGTGGGCGGTACGATGGGTGGTAGAAATGTGCCTGGTAGAGATTAGAGCAGCAACTAGCCTATTGAATATGTTAAATAAAATAAACATGACTGTTAAGGAGTTAAGGGTCATTCATTTATTTATTTATTTTTTAGTCTCTTTTTTAGATTTCTTATTATTATCAATGTTGAAATGGTTGAGCTGCTTTATTTTTGTGGAAACCCTGATACATTTTTCAGAAGTCTTTGATAAATAGATATATTTATATAATATTTCAGCATTTATTTTTATGTTTTGCAACACTGTGAAAGTCTTTACTACTGTCAAAACAGATCAATTTAACGCATCCTCCTTGCTGAATAATAATTCATTTCTTTTTCTGTATCTTACTTTTGAATGGTAGTATAAAAAATATAAAGCACCAGATGATGGTAAAGGTAATCTAAATGTAAATAAAATGTAGGAAATGAGCATGAAATAAATGACAAAAAAATAAACCACTAATAAGGCCTATTTTCAGGACTGTTACACTATTTTACAAATGAAAAACGTGTCAATTAAAATAAAATAAAATACAAAGTTGTGCTTAACTGCCAAGAAATCAGTAACATACTTCCTCCTCATGCCTTACCTTAGTTCCTCAGTTAACCAAAAAGCTTCCGATTTGGCAGAAAATTAGCTTGGTTGCCTGTAAAATGAATAACATTCGAAGGGATTAAATTAATGTATGCGATGGGATCCGGCTTTATTTAATCAAAGAGCCACCAAAACGCCTGTTGGACAAATGCTAAAATGCATTGAGATTCCAAGCACAATTTAATGATACAGAGTGAGGAAACAAAATAAAATACAACACAATAGGATCATTGTTGCGCCCATTCATTTCAAAATAGGCAGTCCACGGACCAAATGAGGCCAGATCCCTAATTAAACCAAGCTAGGATTCTGCACTGAATGCACTGTGTCCTTTAATAATGGAAAACCATGGGGACACCAACAAGAATGAACTGAAACCTGAACTCAGAACAAACACTAAAACCATTGGCCCCGGACGGCCTGCACATAAAAAGCGTGAAGGAAACACGCTGCACTGGAAAAAACATACCAGAAACGTAGATACAATGATGTGGTTGCCATGCCAACTACAAAGGCAAAAGGTTTAAGCTCCGCCCATTTCGGGGAGAGGGAAGCCAACTATGCATGCCATGAGACCCAGGAGCTGACATTGATAAAGCTTTCACTGAGCTCGCTAAAACCTTTTTCTATGCCCACTACTGATGAAAACAGCATAAAATCTGTTTACAGTTGTGCACAACCTGTTAACTGTGAAGATATGCTTGAATTGGAGTGCACATGTTTTAATCCAACCTACTTTTCACATTCTAGAGAAATATAAATAGGTATTACCCTCAAGAAGGACAAGTTCAAGTATTTTATGCTCAATGAAATATGAACCTAATGAGAAAAGGGGTCTGACAACATCCTCTCGTTCTCACTGACCCAAAGTCAAGAGAGTCAGGGCAAAAATACATAATCAAGCTTGTTCCTAATCCACACACCGCCAGCCTTTTCAGCTCTGTTTCTTCAGGAAATGGTTCTATTCTGAGAATCCTGACCGGAAAATCCCAAAGGAAGCACCCCTGTGACCTCGCTGCATATGTCCAAGTCAAGTATCAAAGCACCGAATGTGCGAGAAGTTTACTGGCGGATGCTGTGAAGCAGTACCAACATGAGAGTACAGTATAGCCTACTCATTAAACTGTTATTATCAGACATTGATTATCATAGGCAAATTATATGACTCGAATGGTGCAAAAAAGGACATTAAAAAGAAGACACGACGAGGCCAAATAAGCTGATAATAAACGTAATGTTATATATATATAAAAAAAAGATTAGATGTGATATGTAACCACATAGGCATAATCCTATGCAAATTGATTAATGGAGTTGTGATAATCACGAGACATGTGACTGTTGGTGTCCCTATGATGAGATGACAATAAATCTCAGATGTTTTGAACTGAATAGCGGTGTTGGTTCCAGAAGTATTATTTCCATTCATTTTTTTCCATAGTTAGGGATTTTTAAAAAGTCTTCGTTAAAGCGTTATAAGCCATGAACCAAGCCAACCAGCTACAAGGTGAATCAAAAAAGAAAAAAGTTTTGAAAATCGGACAAAAAGACAAAGGTGCAAGTGATGGAAACCACTATAATCCCATGAAGCATTGCGAACAGCATAATCGATTTAAAAACAATGGAGAAATCTAAAACTACTCAAAAACTACTGCAAAAAGTTGCAAAAAAACAATCATTCACAGTGCTTCATGGGAGTGGGTGGAGCTAAAGATCGCATTTTGCTCTTTTCGACTGTGATTGGTGGAATTTGCTGCACAGCATGGGTAATGTAGTTTTTCACCACCAATTGTACTTAAACATGATTATTTTAGAGTAAACTCTAAAATAATGCAGGCTGACGGCTTCAAGCAATTAGCATTGATTAACATGCAACAACTTCAGCTAATTCAACTATTCGACTATTTCTTTTCTTCCTTGTAGGCCAGAACGAGACTTCCTTATAGATTTCCACGACGCATGCGCGAGAATTGCGATCTGAAGTAGTGTAAGCAGATCGCAAATCTCGCGCATGCGTCGTGGAAATCTAAGGAATTCTCGTTCTGGCCTACAAGGAAGAAAAGAAATAGTCGAATAAACTCGTTATTTTTGTTTGTTTTTTCACACAAAAAGTATTCGCGTCGCTTGATAAACATATAGTTGAGCCACGGTGGTCACTTGGGATATTTAAACATTTTCTTCATTGACTTTCTGGGCCGTCAAGAGGCAGTCCCTTAGGAGCCAATGTGGTAGTTATACAGCTCTCAAATTTAATCAAAAATATCTTCATTTGTGTTCCGAAGACGAACGAAGGTCTTACGGGGTTGGTACAGCATGGGGGTGAGTAATTAATGACTTCATTTTCATTTTTGGGTGAACTAACCCTTTAAGATAAAATGTAGGGCTGAACTTGATTTTGTCCTTGAAGAATTGATTGGATGGTTGTGGTTTGCTATTGGTGGAGCTCATGTGAGTGACAGGTTTCCCCTCCCTCCCGGCAGTAAACACCTTATCAGAGAGGAGATGCAAGGAGGGGAAGGTTATTTTGATTAAAGATTATGAGGGCACATGAACTTTAAAAAATATTATATGCACTGAGAAAAAATTGTCTTTTTTCATTTTGATTTTAAGGCGACATAGTTCACCCAAAAATTATGTTTATGTCAACATTTACCCACCCCCCCTAAACATTTACTCAGCTAAGTGAGTTTTCTTTATTATAGATGCATATGTTTTGTTACCTTCAGAGCAGCAAATTAAATTAGATTCGTAGACTAAATAAATGATATAATACCTTGCAGCAAACTACTTAACATCTAAAGTGAAAACTGTATCAACTTATCTAACTAACTTACATATACTTTTTTTCAAAAAGCAGGGCAAAAAAAGAGATAAAGCGTATTAGAGATGGACAAAACTGTTGATATTACAGGAAAGCTCATAATTGAACAGGACTCAGAACTGCTCTCCTTTCTGGACACCCTCTTCTTTGATTTGTTTGTAAGCAAAACAAACAAGAAACTGTAAGTGAATTTACAAATATACTGAGAAAGAATATTTGTTATAGTTACAAACAAAACATAATAACTGTTCAGAGAGGTATTTGAATTCGTGTGAGCAGCGATGAAAACAAAACACCTGATCCTACAGGCTCTGGCCATCTTCAAAAAGAAATAAAAAGAATACTCTACCAGGTAATCCATGTATTTCCCCGGTAGCTTCTTGCTGTTGTCTACGGAAAATAGAAGTCCTGAGTTAGGGCGACTATGAAATGAAACGCTGTTGTTAATTGAATGCATCCAAAAGTCGATTTTTTGACGGCTTTGGAATCCCCGCCTCTCAGTTATGAAAAATAATATATTAATAAAGCGGCTAGCAGCGTTAGCTGTGCACTCCTCTTCCTCTGTAAGTCCCACGCACGGTTATGTGAATAAAACAAGTCCTGATGAGGAAAAAAAAGGATTCAGGCTTTTTATACATTCAAAAACATTACTATATGTATTTTTAAGTCGAAATAATTCCGACTCAGACGTGATCCGGCGAGTGTAATACAGCTTAATGATGTGGGCGGAGAAAGGCGCTGTTTGTTGTGTGTTCGCGCGAGCCACAGAGGGAAAAGCATCACGACTTCGGCATGACGTCACTGTCACGCTGAGTATTACGTTCATTCATCCAACAGGGATTGAAATTCTTTCTGTTTCTTACTTCTTTTGAGCGTTTAAACTAATATGATATTATTCACTGCCCTTACAAAATCTTTTACGTAACGAAGCAGTTTGTTACATTTTAAGAATGTAAGTATTGCGACCGTCTAAGCGATCACGTGATAGGAGATCGTGGGCTACAGGTTCTTTTACATCACGTGACAAGGAAATGGGTGTCAGATATTTGGTTTGATAGTGACCTCTACTGGTTAAAGTAAGTTACACACTGTCTATTGTTCAAGGAGAGCGACAATGAGAGCGACAGGAGGATAGCCGTGTTGTGTAATCTGATCATGTAGCCTACATAGAAACGCGTCGTGCTCGGGAATGCTAGTTTCTTTCAAAATGGCTAAATTTAGCTTATAATGTTATAACATAGGCCTATTTCATCATGTTTATGTATAACACGTTCTGAAAAAACTAAAACAATACTAATTTGGATAAACAGGCCATGAAACAATACTGTCTGTGTGGCACAATGTATTATGAAGCCCACATAATTTGCTTCCTGTTATAAACACTACACAGTTCTGTAAAGTGAATAAAATATCATAAACTATATAGGCCTACATATGCATGTTAGGTAAGTTTGAAAAGTGTTTTTCATGTTTCACTTTTCATCTGTTCAAGATTATATATTAGGCCTACACTTGGCTGATAATTGGACACAATGACTTGAATTTATGACAATTCAGGAAGTAAAGGCTGTTGAGAATATTCTAATAAACACATTATCTTGTTAACACCCAAACTTCATTACAAACGACTAAAGAAAAAGATACATTCACATTACATTTGTACATATATTTGTATGTACAATATATATATATATATATATATATATATATATATATATATATACATATATATATATATACATATTTATATATAATGATTCTTATTTATTCTTACTAATGTAATTACGGATACTGATCTGTTAGTTGACGTGCTGAGCCAAAAGAGAGAGAGGGAGAGGGAGAGAGAGAGACTCATAACATATTATAAGAAACATATATTATAAGATCTTTTTGAAACGATGAGGTAATTGAAAGACATGTTTTTAAAAAGACAATGACAGTGACAGTCAGTCATAGTGCAGTGTTGTACGCAGGGGAATTTGGGTTTATTCTCTGCCCCGGGCTGATTATTCTGATTGGCTCCACCCTCGATTATTCTGCCCTGGACCGCATTCAGCGAAGAGAGGCAGCAGACGGACACAAACCCCACTTTTCAATACCCTTCTGAGAGGAATTTTAAACTTTTTTCAACAGGATAATGTCTTCAAAAGTATTCGACGTGTTTTGGTAGACAGCAGAGACTGTAGGCTACATTCCTGAAGAGGTTAATTTAACGGAACGGCGCGGAGAGTGTATTGTAACTTTGGAAACTGAGTTTACAAAGCGTTCCCACACAACTATGGCGCTGAGAGCGAGAGCTTTATACGACTTTATCTCTGAAAATCCCGGCGAGATCTCTGTGATAGAAAATGAACTCCTAACTTTGAGTAGTGAAGAGGTTGTCGATGGTTGGTTGGAGGGCACGAACACCAGAGGTGAGACTGGACTCTTCCCTGCATCATACGTGGAGATTATTAGGACTGACACATCACTACACGATAACGGCACACCCGCTAGTCAGGACTATTACTACCAAAATAGTCCTCAGAGGAGGGACACCTCAAACGAGTCAACACCCACGAATTCCACTATTTACCAGGACAGACAACGGCGACAAAGTATTCAGAGCCAAGGAAGCGATGAAGATTGGGACGATGACTGGGATGACAGCGTGACGTCGGAGGAACGCGGAGGAACATCTGAAAAACGCGGGAATACTCAACCGTCCAGCACAAACAACTCAGTGTCTCGACGTACTACGCTTCAGTCCAAAAGTACAGGAACAGTTGGAAAAAATCTCAATAGGTTTTCAACCTTTGTAAAGTCAGGCGGCGAGGCTTTTGTTTTGGGTGAAGCTTCAGGTTTGGTCAGAGATGGAGAAAAAATATTTGTGGATATGGGTCAATACGGTCCGGAATGGCAAGATAACCCATATCCATTCACTTGCACTATTGATGACCCTACAAAACAGACCAAATTTAAAGGCATGAAGAGCTATATGTCCTATGGACTCACACCTAGTCATACTCAAAGCCAGGTGAATAGAAGATATAAGCACTTTGACTGGCTTTATGCGCGACTTGTGGAAAAGTTCCCTGTCATTTCGGTCCCTCACTTGCCAGAAAAACAAGCCACAGGTCGATTTGAAGAGGATTTCATTTCTAAGAGGAGGAAAGGCTTAATATGGTGGATGAATCACATGACGAGTCATCCTATTTTATCCAAGTGTGACGTTTTCCAGCATTTCCTCACCTGCAGTAGCAATGACGAAAAAGCCTGGAAGCAAGGCAAGCGAAAAGCCGAGAAGGACCACTTAGTCGGTGCTAACTTCTTCCTCACTATCTGTCCTCCAGCTTTACCGCTTGACTTACAAGAGGTGGAAAGCAACATAGATGGTTTCAAAACGTTCACCAAAAAAATGGACGAAAACCTCATACAGGTCAATGTCACAATTAACGAATTTGCCAGAAAGCAGATCACTGGTTTTAAAAAGGAATATCAGAGAGTTGGACAAGCTTTCAGACTTTTAAGTCAGGCCTTTGAATTCGACCAGCAAGTGTACTCCGTTCCGTTAAACAAGGCCATTGTACACACTGGAGAAGTCTATGAGACCATTGGGGATTACTTTGCAGAACAGCCCCGTCAGGATTTGGACCCAATTTCCGACCTTTTAGCGATTTACCAGGGACACCTTGCAAACTTTCCAGACATTATCCATGTTCAGAAAGGTTTGCAGTTTTTCTCATGTGTTTGCACATACCACTTGTCAGAACGGCATGCAATAAAATATGGATATAGGTCAGTAGGTCAGTAGTTGATCTGCTTGTCAGCTTAAAGAAATTACACACTATCCAGAATCAAGTTAATATTTGAGTGAAAACCTAAATCAGTATGGTAAATACAAATAGCTATTTTATAAAACTAAGATTTTATTTTTTCATTCTAAAATTGATGTATGCTCTTTTAATGAAGATAAGCTAGAATCATTAACTTTTTATAGCTAATAGAAAATGGCACAGAGCAACAGGCTCTCGGCAGTATGTCAAATGGCATGTCCTGATTTTTCCCTGGTGCAAGAGAGAGAGAGCATATGGGTTCTGCTAGTTCTTGCAGCTTGAGTTGTGTGTTGGTATGGTGAAACGAAGCCAACCCTGTTGTAATCATCACTTCCCTTTAGTGGGGGAAGTGTATACCTCTGACTAATCTATTTTTCCTTTACTGTGAAATTAGATTGACGCTGTCATTCTTATGAAACAAATCTCTGGGTTTTCATGACGCAAATTGTTAATGCAGTTTTGTATGAGAAAATGCTTGTCTCTTTAAAACAACTGATACTGGAAAATCTTTTGTGTTGAAGGCTCTAATCCTAAGCTTAGGGCTCCAGCACAGGGAGGCATTGAATGCTTACACCACAGTTTAACTCACAGATAGTTTTTCTGAAACTATGGAAGCTTGTTTCCGCCACAAAAAAACCCCCAAAAACTGAATTGCGTGGTATACACCCGCAATCGCAAGTTATAAAGTACAATTCTAAGGAGAAAAAAGACTGATGTTTTATATCTCACAATTCTGATTATAACTCACAATTGAGAGTTTATATCTACTGTAGCAAAGTAGCAATATTGACTTTAGAATTTGTAATTGCCAGTTTATTTCTCTCAATTCTGAGAAACAAAAGTCAGAATTGAGAGTTATAAAGTAAAAATTGTGAGATTTTTTTTTTTAAATTCTGTGGTGGAAACAACCTTCCATAAGAAGCACATCCCATAACTTAACTTTTTGATGATATATATATGTGATTAAGTCAAGTAAAGTCATGTTAAGTCAATGAAACGACATTCGCAAATTATTCTACTTTTTCGTATCAGCCTCAGAGTGAAACAAGATATTCAGCGCGAAAAAAAAAAAAAAAAAACGTTGGTCAGGATTTTATCCATCTGGAATTGATTGGATTGTGAAAAGTAGGCGTTACATTCCAAAATGGAGCCAAGTTAGAGGGGAGGGGGTTAAAAAGTAAATGAAGGAAAGGAAAATTGTTATGGAGAAAGAGCAGGTTACTACATTTTGATACAAAATTCCATTTTTTTTATTTGGAATACTAATGCACTAATGAATCATGTGCAATAAGACCAGGAAAGTGAATTTAGAAAGTGAAGTAAGAGTTAATTTCAGAATTGACTTATAGTGCACTGGGAATATTGAATTCTTCTCAAGAAATTCCAAAGAGAGCTGTTAGCCATAAATCAGAAGCCATGATTGGTCTGAGCTTGCATTTTAATGTGTTCAAAATGGAAAACTCAAAGAGTGCATGCGTGTGTTTTTGCAGATGTGATTGTGTTATAGCCTTTAAACCGAACCTTTGTTCTTTTCCCTTTTCTGTTCACTTCCATCCTCTGTCTTTCTCCAGGAGCCCTCACTAAGGCCAAGGAGAGCCAGAAAGATGGCACTGCAGGTGGAGGCATCAATGACCGCTGCAACATCATCTCCTGCGCTACGCTAGCTGAGATCCAGCACTTTCATCGCATACGCGTTCGGGATTTCAAGGCACAGATGCAATATTTCTTACAGCAGCAGATCAGCTTCTTTCAGAAAATCACAGGCAAGTTGGAGGAAGCCCTGGACATGTATGATCAGGCTTAAGAAGTCAAATGGCCAGAACTGAAATGAAACACAAATAAGCAGCCTTTTTATTATAGATTCATTAAAAACACAGTTACTGTCTTGTAGGAGTGTTTGGGGTGGCTTTGAGTTACAAAAAAAAAAAAAAATAGTGATGAAAACTTACCAGAAATTTGACAAATGGTCCTTAGAATGTTGACTACGTTATTATTAAGTAAAATCATATAATCTGATTATACATAACGATCCTAATTGGTACCCTTAAAACATAACCACAATTTTAAGTGTACATGGCTTAGTAGCTACAGTTGATATAAACGACAAAGATCACTTGTAATTGTGTGCCTGTTTTGAAATGGTCTCTATACTGGTATGGACTCATTCCTTGGACTGGAAATAAGAGTAGATTTGAAGGCATTTGTGTCTTTTGAACAGTCTTCTGATTCTGCTGAATTCTATTATAGATATAAAGATACATTATACAAGTTTTACTCTCACTTCGTTATTAACCTTTATCTAATCTGCTCCGAGTGAGGCCTGTGTCTGTTTTACATTAAGAGCTTGCGAGAGAAAGACGAGACAGTTTCTCAGCCCTGGAGGAGAAGTGCAAAGAAACAATGACCTAGAAAACATGGGCTGAAACCCTCTTTATCTGGAAGACATTCCAGACGAGGCTGAGAGGATCACTCACGGTACTAGTTTACCAGCACTTCCATTATTCAGATTAGACTTTTTCTCCCATGTTTCAACATGAGTATTTTTACTGTAAATGAGAACTTAGTGGATGTATTTTGGGAGCTCAAATTGTTATCAAGACCGTTTAACCAGCTGGATGAGCAAGAAAAGTTGAAGTGAAACTTTAAAAATTTAGATGTGGTTATCAAACTCTGGAGCACTGGTGGTCTGTGAAAAGTGTATTTATAAGAACAAAAACCAAACTGGCTCAAGACAGGATTGGTTAAAGTTAAACAGATGGAGAGTCTCATGAAAATCTCACATGAGTTTTGGGTTATTAGGTGTTCCACAATTTTTGTTTTACTCTTTAAGTGGTCCATCCCCTAAAAAGTCACCCTGTGGTGAAAATCATGGTTTTAATATTGTTTATATGTCTATGTGTTGTTTTCAATATGCTTTAAGACAAACCATGTGTAAATTGAAAGGTCAATACCATTGCTGAGTATTTTCTCCTTAAAACTGCAGTTTCGTTGGTGTTTCTGAAGACACAAACTACCTACAATCAGGTCAATGTGTGTTTGTCAACGAGTGGATCTCTGAACTGATGTGAGTGAGTGAGTGGAGGGAGGGGGCGGGGGGGCTAATTTGCATATTCATAGAACTGCAAATACCAAATGAGACAAGGGTGTAGAGTTACATTCAAGCTATTTTAAGGCATTACAGATTATTTTTTTCAAGAAAAAAACTTTTAAATATGTAATTTTTGTGATAAAAGATGTGTTTTAAGGGATAAAAGGATTTATTACAGGGAGACTTGAAAAAGAATGAAAAAGAATGAAAGTGGGAAAATAAACAATTGTAAACAAAGATTAGCATTCTCAGGTCTCAGAGCACCAATCAATTGACCTATTCAAAGAGATCATACTACTATTAGTTTCTGTGCTTACTATGGTAAAAACCGAGCTGTCCCGGAGCAGTCAATCTCTCAATCCATTTAAATTATTTATAAGAGCTAAAGTTAGGCTTCTCTTTCCACTCACTGCCTGCATCTGTTTTCACATACTCAGGTCCTTAATCATGAAGAATTTATTTCCACACCCCGATCACTAACAACCACATACATTGCCCTTAACACAAAGGAGAAAAGGAAGGACTAAACTAATTTGTGTTTTTATGAAGCATTTGTTTTCTAAATAATTGGAGCTATAAAGAATAAAGAATTAGTAATCCACTAATATACATGAATCATAAAAGTTCAAAACGTCCAAAATATTTTAGAAAAAGCAATGATTTTATTAGAATATTCATTTATACAATAAGAACAATCTTTTTACATTAGTGTATCTAACTCAGTGATACTTTCTCTCAGTCATACAGACATAAATACATGCATACAGTACATAAACATTCATAAACCTGAAGCCCATAGTAAGTTCTAGGCATTACAAGATAAACACTAGTGGTCATCTTTCACTTCAAAAAAATTTAAAAATAAAAATACACAGAGATGTGGGTTCGAAGAATAAGTCTTTGAAGCACACTTGGCATTATGGAACATCAATGTAACTATTCCCCTTCTTTCAATAGCATCACGGCTGAATATCCCTCTAATGCCATCTTGCTTTTTACGAGTGTGAAATTTGTGGTGCGATATTTATGAGGGTGGATCTGTTTTTGTGGTCAGCATACTATTATCATATTCAGACACTTCTCTAAAATTTACCTTTGAGTAGTTTCAGTTCTCTCATTACATGCCAATCTGACAGACTTTGTCTACAGCAAATATGAATAAACATAAGGCATTAAGGTACAGCATAATGCTATGGTTTTATAGTGTTTTTGGAAAACCATTTAGAAATGAAATATTAAAAAAATGACATTTGGTTATTGGAGTATGCAGTAATAAAGTACTCATATATAGTTAATTCTCAGTTTATATATGTATAGTCTCTACATTGTTACTATACAGTATTTATAGCCTATAAACAAGTAGTGAGTTCTTCTTCATGCATTGTTTCTGTAATCAAACGCTTTAAAATCCCTCAGTTCTCAACATCTCTGAAAACCTATGCCACTCCCACACTATACATGCACCAAAGTAGCCAGAGCAACTTTTCTCTATTTATGGATATGACAAGAGATACATGGGCGAGTGACGTATACAATTTCCCGTGAAAAAGATTTATTTAAAATCGTTTAAATTTTGTTAATTTTGAGGGGGGGGGGGGGGGGGAGAACTGTGAAGAACTTGCTATTTGTATATAGGTTATTAATATATTAACAATATATAGACTATAATATATAAACAATAAATGAACTATAATAGTTTGTAAATGATTTGTTAGCACTTTTTTACTGTATACTAATTGATGTTACCGAAATTACATTCCCTCTTCTACTTACCGGTAGGCCTAAATAATAACAATACTGTATTAGGTACAATGACATAAGAAATAAACTATTAGGGGCTTTCACACTAGAGGAAAATTTTCATAGTTCCTATAACTATTGGCAGAAGTACCTGCTTTTTGTCGAGTTTGCACCGCAGGAATTGGGAACAATTTTATAACCCAGCACAATAGGAACTAGACAGAGATCAAGTGTAGGTAAGTTGACGAACCCAATGCCATACGAAACACTGGCACCCGCCATTTGTAACTTACTCCACAATCTAGCATACATAAAGGAACATAAACATACCGAAAGTTAATGTCAACAGCCTTTGTTTGCGGTATTGTATTCTATTCACAGCCTCAATGATATCTAGCACTGCAAGTTGTCGTAGATTTTGTCTTTTAGCTCTCCTTTTTGCTCTTTTAATCACATAACTTTAAAAAATCCATTTCACGTCACTTCAAAGTTCCTACTAGCGAATGCAATAGGAAAATGGTCTTAGGGGAACATTTGGTTCTCAAGGTCAGCCATGATGGCTAGTTCCTATAACTGAGTTCCTAACTACCTGGTGTGAAAGCCCTTATTTTTACTACATGAAGGCCTAAGTAGAATAGTTAAATGTCCGTATTTAATAAAACCAAGAAGACTGGATGTAAAAACTTGTGTTATTTTGTCCTCTAAAATGTGGCAAAGGATCTAAATTTATAACATTCATTTCATACTGCAGTCTGTGAACTCTTTTAACCATGTTCATTCATTCTATCTGTAACACACAAATGTGCAAAAACCCATAGCTCATCACTGGGTTAGCATCCTCAAAGGTGCACGATTATATCTTATGTACCTCTAAAGGATACATGTAGTACCTCAATGTGCTAACTGCTAATAGTGTTAGAGAAGGTACAGAAGTGTACCTTTGAGGGTACTACTGAGCCAGTGACAAGCTAAAGGTTCAATTTTTGCACACAAAAAAAGATGACATTCCATATAGGTAAATATTACTGCAAAACTTTCAGACCTTGTAATAACAAAGAATTGGTGACTATTCTTTGTTTAGTAAGTAACAAAACATCAAAACTACAAAAAGATCTAAGCTGTGGCAGGACAGAAATTGGACTAACATAAAATAAACGTGTTAAAATTACAATTATTTGGCGATCTTTCCCTTGACTCCAAGCCAAGTCACCTTCAGTCTGTAAGGTCAAAATCCAAACGGCAACAACATTTTAAGTTCTCAGTTTCTCAGTGTATGGGATGAAACTTAAAAACATACTTTCTTCTGCCAGGTAACGCTAAGAGTTGGCTCTGATGATGGTCATGCACAATGATAGTTCACAAAAATTGGTCCAAGCAACATCTGGATGTGATAAAAAGAGTTGAATCAAACCCAGAACTGGTTTTGTTTAAGGGGTGGTGTTGCTGGTGTACACCGCTGGGCAGAATCAGGGTCAAGTGGACTCCATGTGCAAAGGACAAATGGAGACACAGCTCTTTCAATCGCTGGCACCAAGGCTGCATCATGTACTTCCTCTAAAACGGGGCTGTCAGGGCAGCTTGGAGTGAGTGGGGTTACTATAACCGAAGGAACAGTGAGACTTCTCTCAGGTTGACCCAGATATGGGCATCTGGCTAAAATATCTTCATCGGGGTTCCCAGTCAAAGCCTGTATGATTGCGGGGTGGGCCCGCTTTTCCCTCCGGTGCCGGAAGACAAGAATAAGAACCACAAGAATGACAATCAGAAGAAGGCAGGCCAGAAGTGGCAGGATGATGAGCAGGGGATCAGATGCAGGTCTTGGTAAAGACTCCACCCTCACTAACGTATTTTTTGGGGAGGGGTCCAACTTGCCCATCGTGGTACGGGGGACATGAGGAACCGTTGATCTGCTTCGTGTGTGGTTCCCCCAGCGGTTTCGGGGTTTCAGCTTTGAAGCGGTCCTGTGTGGTCTTGTTGTTGGATCTAAGTGAGATGGAGGGTACATGGGGGACATCGCATTTGTTGTTCTGTTGAAAGTCGGCAACTTGGTCGGCTCTATAAGCATATGTTTCCCTGTAATGGGGTCATAAGGTATTACTAAATACACAAATTCACCCATGGCAGGCTGGACATTGGCTGCCTTCAAAAGGAAAACAAATGAGTCATTAAGTGGATGGACTGCTGTGACATTGTACCTGGCCGCTGTTGTGTTGCCATAAATGGTTTGGAAATTGATGTTTTCCTCTATAGCAACTCTGCCCTGTTCCACATCCCTGAATGTGAAGGACTCCACCGAGTGAGAGGCTCCTCCAAGGTCAAATGTCACTTTGACTAGCTTGCCATGTTTTGGCGGCTTAAGGATTTCAAAGATGGGATCGCTAGCACTAAGGGAGGCCAATTCTGTTGCATCAAGGACGTCCTTTCTTAGCTTCACTGGGATACCATCTGGGATCCTAACATGCTCTCCAAGGTGGATCAGTGGCCTGACTGTGATGTTTACCACCTGGTTGGTCAGGTTACTCTCAGATGTGAAGACTGTGAACTCAAAGCTGTCTTGAGAGGACGACAGGTCAGTCATGTTATAAAATAATCTACCAGTGTGAAGGTCCTCTTGGTCAAAGTATGTGACCGGCTCTTCCATAACCATGACACACCCATGACTTGGTGGGCCTGTAACTAAATACTTAATGGATGCATCTTTCTCATTGGTCACTGCAGCCAGATGTTCGAATGTCAGAGTCACTATGGTCTGACCTTGCAACAGAGTCAGTCCGGTGTTGTTGACCACACTGATAGTGATATTCTCTACCTCTACACTAAAGAGCTTGTAGAGTGGTCTGTGGAATCCATCAGTTATACTGAAGTAGATGACCCCTGATGAGGGTTCCCCATTTTGTACAAAGTGCACCCTTCCTTGATTTACATCAGCCTGGGTAAAAGTAGTAGCAGACTTATTGAGTTGACCTTCCAAAGCAAGGAAGCCATTTTTGGGCTTGCTGATTACCGTATAATAAAGCTCCTCAGGTGGAGTGTCTTGGTCCTCCACATAAAGGTTCGCAGTGTCCAAGGTCACAGTGTCCCCTTTGACCACTTTGAGTCTAGGGGATCCCGTCTTGAGCACAGGAGGCCGGTCATTAACAGGGGTCACGGTAATATTAAATATTCCTGATACTATATGGTCTGCATTCTGGGGTCGTTGAGCAAGCTTTCCTTTGGGGTTTAGCCACACGTCAAAAGTGAAGTTATCATGAGTGGTCTCAGAATCATCATGTACATAAATAACTCCATGCTTGTGGAGATTGAATTGGGAGAACTTTAGTCTTTCATGTGTCAGGTTCTTTTCACCTACAACAATAGTGCCGTGGAGGGGTGGAGAGGTGATTTCGTACCAGACCTCATAGAAATTACGTTCCTCTTCTTCTAACTTTCCCAAAAGGTTGGAGGCATCCAATTTTGATTTATCTACGAGAACACTACTACCCTCAGCGACGACAGCCCCTGAATAATGAATATGAAGTGGTTAGTGTAGAGATAATATATCAATTTTGTTCAATTTGTTTATCAAATAAACATCACGAGAAGTCAGAAAGCATTACCAGTATTTGTAAAGAGTGCACTCCTATGCTCCGGGCCAATATTTTCATAAGAGATGTGGATATTAAAGGTGTGAGCATGGAGGGATGCTGGGGGGCATGATGCAGTGAAGGTGAAGGAATCTGTAGCGGTCCAGGCAACAGGTTTAGTCTGTGCATACAGCACAGCACGTTCCTTCACCTAAAATAATAGAGGTAATTAAGCTTATTTATAAGTTAAAAACGATCGGTAACACTTTAGTTTAGGGTCCAATTAACGAGTTGCAAAATTATCCTGCACATTACTAAGATATGGACTGTTTATTACTACTTATAATGCATATATTAATGCCTTATACTGCATGACAATATTCTACATCCCTTAACCCTGCCCAATACCTAATCTTAACAACTACCTTACTAACTATTAATTAGCAGTAATTAGGGTTTTTTTGAGGCAAAAGTCGTAGTTTACTTAATAGTGAGAATTGGACCCTAATCTAAAGTGTGACCGAATGATCACATAAATGCTATTTAATATCACATTTCACATATTTTTTTATCACATATTTGCATTACTTTCTTATGTTAGTATGTTAATATTTACATTTTAAATATTTAGATATGCTAATGAGGAGCAATATTTTAAATAAATGATGAATTTCACTCGAATGGTTGGCTCGGCTAACATGCAGAGTGGACAGTCTCACAGCCAATACAAACATTGTGAGGACAAAAAAATTGCCCATGTTGCAATACAACAATATAATTTTTGTCTGAATTTTATATTAATCTCAAATAGTGTTACATGAAATTTTATTTTGACAAAAGCATGCTTAAAGGGTTAGTTTGGTATTTTACACTTAAAGCCCTGTTTTAAGATCGTTTCTGATTAAAAAAAATGTTTAAGATTGAAATTTGGACAAATGCTGCTGTCCCGTTAGGTTTCTGTGTTAGCACCCCTCACATACACAATGGTTATCTATGTGCACTGGAACAATCATATATAAAACACATTAAACTTTAGTTTACAAAGAGATGAAACTCACCGAGTGGTCTGGGGGTGTTTACCGATATGCTCACACAAAAATTGCTGCAAAAGATGCTTTCCAACAGGTTTTATCATAGCTTTTGTGCCAAGTGAAGTCAATGGAGTCGGACAAAAACTACAATAAAACCTGTTGGAAAAGGCGTACACATTTTAACAAAACTCAGAAGCAGATTTAATAAATACCATGTTTTGGGTGAAAGAGGAGATTTCTTGTGTAGAATTTTCTGCTTGTTTCCACATTAGGCTTCCGAATTTTGGAGGTGAGGTCACGGTGTAGGTGATGGTGCGATTCCCATAAATATCATCATAGTCATTTGTGATTATCAGCAGCTCATCTTCAGAAATTAACTTTGAAGAACCTGTGGAAAGGATCCACGGAATAAATGGCAATTGAGTTTAAGTTGAAGAAAGCAACACAAAAGAAGAAATGCGAAATTGCGGCTATAGGTTTCTTTGAAACACTATAAAAATGAACCTGGGAAAACTTTAAGTTCTTGATTTTTCATTAAGCTGATGACCAGCGATTGGGCTGTGACACTGAAGATTTTCCTTGGAGCAAAGTTCACTCCATCATTGACTTGAAAGTGAAATCCTCCTGACAAGGCACCTTTTGAAACATAAATACCACAAACCTACTGAGAGATCAAGCAAAATGGCTTATCAAATGTTACTGGCAGTTCTGAAAGGCCCTTTAAAATGTAAACTAACCACTATGTACAAAGACCAGCTGGCCATGATTAATATGCTCTTGGGTGAAGTTCAGAACAGGCCTGGAGGGGGCGCTCTTCAGGGCTAGATGCCCATTACTAGGTGGGGTGATGATGAAGTCTAGGCTCTCAGGAGGAGAATCTGGATCCTCAGCACTGAGGTCCTCAGTGGTTATCTCTGTCACAGCACCTTCCCACACCTAATAATATAAACATGGTGCTGTCAGTTTTGGTCATGTTTTGTCAAGTGAGGTTTAACATTTTTTTTCTAGGAACAGCAGAAGCCATTTTAGAATGTGTTTACTGAGCCTCCTGCTGGTGAAAGTGGGCGTCTGAAAATTAGTCCTCCACACAGTTCATGCTGTTTTAACCAGTGTTCTTTAAATAATCTTTACATTATTGGAAATAGAAAAAGATGCCAGAATTTAGTCAGATATTGGATATTTTTGTGATAATGCAAAAATTTGTCAGGTCTGTGAGAAGGAGATCACCCAGGTTAAAGTCCTAATGGTTTGCTTTGTGTGTGTGTGTGTTTTATTTGTGTTTAATATAATTTAATTAAGTAAACATAAACATAAGTAAACATAAATAGATGAGAAATGGTAATATGTGCAATACAGATCTTTGTAGTGTAGAATTATTAGTTTCTGGGGGAAAACTCACCTTGAAGATCCTGTTGACAGTTACAACTGGAGGTTCGTCATTTATGGGAGTTACATTGACATAAATCACAAAGGGCAAGCTTTGCTTCCTTATATCTGTATCATTGGCCACGACTGTAAAATTATCTGCCATGGTCTCACTTCCGTCATGGACATAGAATATGAACCCCTGTTCAGCCTGTAGCAAAGAAAAAAAAAGTATACAATGCAGTTCTTTAACAAAATTTATAATAAAGATTACTACATGTGCAACATCTTTACATTTGAAAGATATATTTTCTCAAACAGTGCTGTTTACAACAGATTTTTAAACGATTGCCTTATGGGGGTGAAGAGAGACGAAGTAAACAACTGGAGAGAGTGAAACAAACTCACTTGAGCCCTTGTGAAAGAAGGAATGGGAACACCAGGGATCCTTGAGTGTTCAATCCGGCCATGATGAGGCCCCTCGGTTACAAGATAGAAGATTTGGAGTCCATCAAAGTGTTGGTTAACAACTTTGAGGATGTCCTGACTGAGAGCTTTAGAAGAACCCTCAATCAGGGTCATATTAGACACCTCTAGAGGGATGTGCAAGGGGATAATATCCACAACGACTACAAGATCATGGATTGTTTGAACGCCATTGGTTACGTCAAGTGAGAAAGAGTCATTAATATATCCATGGTCTGTTTGAACATACTGAATATGCCCTTTATTGATATCATCCTGTGAAAAGCTTTGAATGGGATTCTCCTTACTGCCATGGTAATGAACTTCTTCTACCTTAGATATCCGCAGAAAACCATGAGTGGGTGCCATCTTCACAGTATACACAATCTCATAAGGTTTGTTATCCTCGTGAATAACCTGAAAGAGACCAAATGAGAATATCAAATAGATAATCTGTATTTATAACCAAGTTGTCTTAAATTGACTTCAACAAAGCAAAACTAACCTGGAGAACGTCTTTGTGGATTTTGACAGGTTTTACTTCCTCCACCAAGATTGGGTTATTGTGAATGACCTTTGGAGGCTGCTGATAACTCTCAAGGTACACCCTAACTGACACACTTACATCCAGATGCAGGCTTTTCACCTTACAGGTGAAGTTAAAAAAGTCCTCCTGTGTTTCGCTGTCATCATGATGATACGTTACATGACCCATCTTCAAGTCATGTTGTGTGAATGTATTTGCCTTAACACCATTGCATTGAAGAGTCCCATGGCTTGGTGGTAGAAAAACCTCAAAGACCACTTCTTCATCATGCCTGACATCCATATTAGTGGAAATACTGAAATTAGCAACTTTTAAAATGGCCACCTGGCCTTTCTGGACCAAAATACCTGTGTTGTTGGCCACCTTAACATATGGATTCTGGGCTGACACTTCAAGTAGTGTTGAGGTATAGTGCTTGCCATCTGATATAAAGAGGACACAGCGGCCTAAACTCACCCCTTTGTGAATGAACAACACTCTCTTCTCTTCTAAGTCCTTCTGACGGAATTGATAAAGCTTGTGTGTGGTGTCATTTACCAGGACTAACTCACCCATGGGGATCTTTCGTCTGGTGTAAAGCAAATCTTTGTCATCAAAGTCTGTGTCAGCATCATGGTAGCACAAGTCTTCCAGTGTAAGTAACCGTTGGCTGTCACGCACCACATGGAAAACTTTATCCACAACACGGACGGGTTTCTCGTCATTGACCAACTGGATGGAAATATTAAATGTGCCCTCCGTGCCTGGGGTTTTACTTTTCAGAGAGCCAAAAGAGGCCTGGAATGTAAATGCATCATGTGCGGTTTCACTATCATCATGGACATACAAGATGCGTTCCTCCAAAATGTCCTGATTGGTGAACTCTATTATGCTGTCATTGCTGGAAGAGGAATTAGAGAGGTTTATTTTCTTCAATATCCCATGTTTAGGGCTGCTGGTGACAGTGTAGTGTACTGCTCTGGAGCTGGGTGTCTCTGAGAAAAGCATTGTCTTAGTAATGACCTTGCTCTCCCCTTCCAAGAGAGAAAGTCCATGATTTCTTAAAATTATGTAATGAATATCTGCTTTGATGCTGATTCTGAACTCATGAATCCCTGACATGGCAAATTTCGAGAATACATGAAAGTGAAACATGTCCCTTGTATCATCCTTTGGCCTTTCTAGGAGCCCATATTGCAACTTGCGATTAGTAATGTCATCTTGGCTAAAGGTAGAGTTCTTTTTTAAAATCTTATTATCAAGAAGAAGATTTCCTCTCCTTGGTAATGTCAACAAACGAATGTGAAGGTCGTTTTCTGAAAGTCTCGCACCTTTGGTGACAACATGGAATTCTTGAGGTGTCAATGTGACTTTGTGTTCACCATCTATCACTACCTTATTTCTGGTTATTCTGTAACGTATCCAGCGTACTCTAATCAAAAACAACAACTCATCTGTAATGACTGAACCGACTGTGACTTTGCATTTTAAACTGTCTGTGACGTTACTTTGCTGCGTACCATGGAAAGTGCTAAGATATCGAAGACGCTCCTTTTCCAGAAGTTTCTGCGTGAATGTGCCTGTTTGCTTCCACTGCCCACTTGAATGCAGCCTTTGCAGCTCACCATAGATTGGTGGCACTGTGACGTCATAGCGAATATCCACTGCTTGTTTAGGGACATTCACTTGTACAGCAAGATGTTTATTACTAATAAAGGTTGCTTCACCTTGCGTTACCTCTACTCCGGTGTTATTGGCAATCTTGTGTTCTAAGGGAACAGCGATGATCCTGAGTACCACAGTGTTGCTTACCTTGTCCCCATCACTCACCCTAACAGCCATTCTGGAGTTCTTGACACCTCTGTGGACATAATTCACTTTATGTTGCTCTAGATCGCTTTGGGAAAATGAGGTCACTGCCCGGCCTGGGTGTTCTTCTATTTCTAGAAAACCTGAGTCAGCATTCAGGTTTCCAAGCACTGTGAACATCAGGTCTGTTGAGTTAGTGTCAGGGTCGATGGCCCTGAGAACATCTGTGCTCAAACGACGTCTTGAGTTCTCCAGCAGAATGAAGAGACTGCCCTCAGGAAGGCTAAGTTCAGGAGCGTCATTGACGGGTGTGATACTGATGTTAAATCTGTGCAGACGGTTCCCTCTGAGATAGCTAGGCACTTCCTTTTTGCTGCTGGTGAAGATGGAAAACATGAAAAAATCATGTAGGTCCTCAGATCCTCCATGGACATACATTACCCTTCGATGCAAGAGGTCCAGCATATTGAAGGTGTTCTCACCCAGATTAGGGTCAACATCCAGTCTGAGTTGCCCATGTACTGGTTGCTCTTCAATGCGTAACATGACCTGTGAATGTTGGATCCCAAGCTTACGGAACTCTAGGTTAATCTTTATATGTTTAGACTCAAGTGGTGCTCGTCCGCCTTCAAGAACCTCCAAATCCTTGAGTAAAAGGACATTTTTCTTCTCCAGCTCAGGTAGGACATCTGTCAAATTTTCATAATCCATAGTAATAATTGACGGACTTGTGGTACTGGGTCCAAGCCCTTTGTCTGGTTCACAACCAACAGAAATATCCTTGGTGACCAACGCTTTTGGAAGGCCCATCCTTTGGTAATTAACTCGGATATTTCGAAGACAGCCTTTAAACGACCCTCCTCCAATTCGCTTGCCTACCATAGAGAGCAAACCATTCTTGTGTATTTCTGTGTAAGTGCTGATATCAACCCCACCTAAGTACAGAGGCCCAGTAAACTGTAGTGCACTGGCATTTATCCCAAAGCTAGAATTGTGCATCTCCAAACCCAGAGTAAACTGAAGATTCAGAGGAGACAAATAAAGCCGCAAAATGTGCCATGTCCCATCATTGACGACCATCAAGGAACGCAATACTGTCTTAGTTGCACCTATTTTAAGGATAGCAACAAGGTGACCCTTTTGGATCTCCAGGGCAATAAAGTCACTTTGTCCTGCAGAGCTGTATAAAAGGATCCCCTCTGAATTCACTGTATGCAATTCACATTCAAATACACCCTCTTGGGGTACGTCCCATGCTGGCAGCGACATGTATGCTTTGGAGCTGAAAAAACTTATTGAATTGTTAACAGTGGCTGAAAACTCTGGGCTGCAACCAAGTGACACTTCATGAATCATTTTGTATCCAGAGTAAGGCCTAAGGGAGGATAGAAGGTTATGCTCATTGAACAAAACCTCATCTACACACCCCCGAAAGCCAGAGGATGTTTTATCTGCTGAGAGGTAGGGTTTTTCCAGATCTCCAACACCACCAACAAAAAGCCCATCTTGGACTTCCAGTTCAAGATCAGGTCCTGGCATCTTAACAGTTGTTATAGAGTTTTTGTCCACAGTCAGGGTGATGTTGGCAAGGTCATGTTGAAGTTCTACTGTATGCCAGGTGAGATCATTCAAGGGGATACCCTTCTCAGAACGAACCGTCCGTTCCCCAGATCCAAGATCAATCCGCACCTGACAGAGATGGACAGAATATCTTAACACTAATGTAGGAAATCATCTTTAAACAGATGATTTCCATAATTTCAGTTTAAAATTTGCTGGGTTCAACTTTATTCATTACCCAGACTGCTGGGTTCTGCCTGTTGGGTTATTTTTAGTGTTAGGTAATTTTGTGTCTCCCATCGATTTGTTAAGTTTCATTGACTAAAGTGATGCACCTCCTCACAAGGTTTGACAAACTGGGTTAAACTGGAACCGTAACAGTCATTTTCTCTACTGTCCCAAGACATCTTCCTAAATAACTTGTCTTTAAGGTTTATATACACTTGTGTTTCAAATCATATTGCTAAGAAACTCATATTACATTAACTACAGGTAACAGAGTCACCATGTCAGTATTCCTAAGCATGAAAAGACTTGTCAGCACAGTGGTGCAAGTGGACGTGAAAACTTTTTCTGTCTGGAAGCAACAAGAAATCACTTGCCTCTTGTTTTTGCCTGTGGGCATAATATATCTGTTTTAAGCACTCCTTTACACCTCGGATAAATGTAACCGTTAAGGATGGGTATAAGTTTAAGCTTATTTAGCAGGACACTAATTTGTAAGATTCCAACATAGTTAAGCTGATTCATTTTATTTGATTGCAACATGTCACTATGTAGCTAATCTCAGTCTCTTAAAGCAATGCACTGATCGACAATGAATGATTGCACTGCATTTCTTAATATAAAACATTATTTCTGTTTTGCACATTAATCTACATTAGTTAAACTCTATTATAGCATGTATGCATGAGTAACATAAGGGTATTAATATGCAATTAAGAGTAACAAAACATCAAATTACAGGATTCAATACAGTGGATATGCAGCTTTGTATATGAAGACCTCTTTTCATTGACATGAATTTGATGCATTTAATTAATCACCTGTGCTCTGCCAGAATGCAGTCCCATCCAGAGAAAGTCCGTCTCTCCAGCTGCCAAAAAAAGCAGGCCACTGGGTCCAGAGGTTCGGAATCGTACATGGAAAGACGTTTGACTGGACAACCCAACTGTTTTCAAATGCACAAAACCATCCCCATAGAAAGAAGCTGCAAAGTATTTTGAACTTGCATCAATAGGGATTATATAAAAAAGTGTGTGCTTAATACAGCATATACATAAACATTACATGTTTTTCACATTCTGCACTTTACAACAGTAAAGGCACGGGTCACATTCCTTAAACGAAATGCCAGAGGGCAAGATGTTATGAAAACAGATCCAGATAGCGTATACCGGTATCTTTCATTGTTAAACTTATCTTGCTTTTTGAGAGATCACACAATTAGTATCACACAATTGCTTCCCCGTAACTCCATCCACTTTTGTCTGTCCTCATATGTGTGTGAGTTATTCCTACATACTGTATCTGAGTTAGACGCTGCTCTCGAGTAAATTAAGAGTTTTATCGGCCTGAACAGCTCTGTGACAGCTGTGCCTAAAGCAGTTTAGACTAAGTGCTGTTGTGTCTGCTGCCATCTAATGCGTTATCAGAATTCAATTAATGCATTTAATGTGCTGAATGCCTTTTAAGAGCTTCATTTCTAGGGTACTGTGTCAAAGGGGTCAAAAGGAGTCAATAAGCACAGCGACTGGAGATGAATACGCTTTTCAAAATGTTACAGTGTTACATTTGATGAGTAATAACAATTATTACATGTAATTTCTTTAGGTTTAGTTGCATGCAATTATGCATAATTTATAGTACTACTACAGTAATAAATTACATGTAACAAGGACACTTTAAAATAGTGTTATCAGATATTCAATAGAGAAGAAATACACCCATGAAGTCATGAATATAAGTCATGTGTATTGTATATTTAGGAACGCTTAAAACATAATTTTATCCTACTATCAATGTTTAAAAAATGCATTTCATTGCAGATTACTATCTCTATTTGGCTTTGGACTGGGAGAGGTCGCTTCCCACATGCTGCAGGCAAACAAAATGAACTTGAAAAGGATCGGATTATATCTAATCCCATTTTAGACGTGTTGAAGTCACTTTGTGTGAGGTATTAATTACTGCTTATGTGTCACTGCCTCCATATATGCTGTTTAGCCTATAACTGGTTGTTTACATTTTCTGTAGTTTGCATACATTAACATTTGAACAGAATTAAGCCTATTTAAATAAATTAAATTAGGTTCTACTGAGATAAAACTACAAATGTATAAACTACTGAACACCACAACAAAATTCGACAATAGTGTTGTTTTAATGATGCATGACCCATATTATATTATATTGAATCATATTATATTATTATACATTTAATGAGTTTGCTGACACTTACCTCCATAAGCTTGTCCACCAGTCAAAGAAAGCAGCACAAAAATGCGCCACAAAACCCCCTGCTCAAAGGCAATGTGAATCCACATGTTTCATAGCACTTCGGTTCAAATTGTAATGTCTTATTGGTTTAATATTCCCCAAAGTACGTCCATTGAGAGACCTTAAATCATGGTTAACTTTAAATCACTGTACCTGCAAGACAGTCCACTAAACAACGTCACGGGCGTGTGACGGGTTACTCCTCCCTTTATGAATATTCATATTACTCCTCGTGCCACAGTGTAAACTCAGAAAAATTATCCATACTCCTCAAACAAATTATTCAGTATGTAATGAAATCTTAAAACGGCCTAATCTGTTTTGGTACTATGTAGCTACATGGTCTATGTAATATTTAATATGGTCTACATATAGCACTATGCAGAAGTCAAAATCCTCTTATAATTTTGACAATGGCCTCTAGAGGGAGCAATCACACAACATAACTAGAGCCGTCAAACATAGCCCATCAAAACATCCATACACTGTCTTATTATGATGGGCGTTACATGTGTCTTTGTGTTGGTAATACACTAATTATTTTATTTAATCCAATTGAAATCATTGATTATCCCCTTTTGCTGTTTACCCTTTACAAATAACATCTAAGGTTAGATTATAATATCTCCCTCACAGGATTATGGGTTTTTTTTTTTTTTTCTTTAGGCCTGTTTTAGAGTTGCCTTGCCTGTTGTTTTATGTTCATCAGTGTGGGAAAACAATGTTTTGATTGGTGTTTTTTGTATTTGCCCCTGGAATTAATAAATGCTATTTCAGACCCAGGGGGATCCATTACACAATTTAAAAACACACACACACACACACACACACACACACACACACACACACACACACACACACACACACACACACACACACACACACACACACACACACACACACACACAGTAAAACATAAAAATAAAAAGTCTTACATAATGTTCAGTGTTACAGACATGTTCGTCAATGGTTCCACAGTCTGGAAGGCTGACTTTTATCAATAGGCTAGCCAACATTTTATTTTATTTTCAACCATACAAAAACATATACACAGTGTGTGTCCTTTTAATTTAGCCTATACATCAATTGAATTGAAATGAATAGATAATCTCGAAATCTGTTGTATTAAAGGGTTAGTTCACCCAAAAATGCAAAAATCTGTCAGTATACTCCCCCTCATGTTGTTCCAACCCCGTAAGACTTTAGATCTTCGGAACACAAATTAAGATATTTTTTATTGAATCTGAGAGCTGGATCACTCCTTCATAGGCTTCTATTTAAACTTGCCGACCAGGAAAGTTAGTAAAAACATTGATAAAATAATCCAAGTGACTACAGTGGTTCAACCTTAAGTTTATCAAGCGACAAGAAAACAAAAATAATGACTTTATTCAACTATTCATTCTCTTCTGACATGAGTTCACCTAATGTAACAGCACAGCGCTTCTGGGTTGTATGTCAGAATGTAGGCTCACTATTGGCCATGTTGGTCATGTGTGTAAGCCTACGTTCTGACGTACAAGCACTGTTACACTGAACTCACATCAGAGGCCCACACTGAAGAAAATCGCTAGTTTTTGCATACTGTGATGTCAAGTGGACATCTAAAATATCTTTAAAATATTGTGTAAAAAAAGCCCTAAAAGCAGTAAAAGCACATAAGAAAAAAAAATCCTGACTGAGGTTGTCATAATTTATGCATGAAAGAGTAAAATGCATAGGATAAACCATTATTACAACATTTCCATGAGTAAAAAGTTGCAAAAGGGTTTTTAGAAATTAGCTGTGCTGCCATGAACTTCCAAATAGTTCCACATATGAATATCGTATCACTCAGTAAGCTTGGTATATTAAAAGGAACATGATATTACCCATCTAATACCATCACAGTTTCATTTTTGTAAGGCAACAGAGAATACAGATTGTGTAGCTGTAGCAATAAACCCATAATAAAGCCAGCCATCTCCATACGCCAAGAAAAGCAAATGTTAGATAACACTAGCCTGACTTCGTCATACTCATGTTCTAGTCAGAATGTGAGTCTGATACTGCTCCAGAGGGCTTTGGTAATGAGGCATGTCTTAAAGGGTTAGTTCACCCAAAAATGAAAATTAAGTCATTAATTACTCACCCCCATGCTGTACCAACCCCGTAAGACCTTCGTTCATCTTCGGAACACAAATAAAGATATTTTTGATTGAATCTGAGGGCTGGATCACTCTTCCATAGACAGCCTGAGGGACTGCCTCTTGACGGCCCAGAAAGTCATTAAAAGAAAAGGTTTAAATATTCCATGTGCCTACAGTGGCTCAACTATAACTTTATCAAGCGACGAGACTACTTTTTGTGCGAAAAAAAACGTAAATAACGACTTTATTCGACTTTCCATTACTTCCTTATGGGCGCATGCGCGAGAACTGAGACGAGACCGTTCTTCTTCGACTACTTTTTGTTACCGGCTGCTCACCGCTTAGGAGTTTTACCGCCCCCTACCGTATAAGATGATGTACTGCTTGTAAACAGAACGTTTTGCGCCTCCGGCTATATTAGTACATTAATATTAGTACAGATTTTACCCTTGAGTAAAATAATGAGTGTTGCTTCTTTTACTTGGTCCTCCATGAGTGCGACCAAAGGAGAAATCACAATGACCACAGGGTTTTCATTGCGTTCCATCTACTCAGCGACCATCAGAGCCAGATGATAAATTAAACTTTTGTCGAATCCCGTAGGAAGGATGGCAAACACATCTTTCCAATCGTCAAATGCCTTGTTTGTCTTTTAAAATGAATGCACTGTCAATTTGTTTTACAACCGACGCAATAGTGAAATCTATCTCAATTCTCCAGCTGCGGTCATCTTTGAGGGAAACCAGTTCAACCCAAGCGCTCTTTGATAACGTGATGATTACGTAACTGCCGATCATCTGTCCAACATCGTATAAAGCACGCCCTGGCATTGCAATTTGATTGGCCCGACGATTTCTGAACCGATCATATTTATTCATCAATGGATCGAGTCCAGACCGAACTTCCCAACCAAAAAATGTTGTGGGCGGGGTTCGGGCTGGCATCCAGGCTAAACACATTAAAAAAGGATCAATTTACCAAGGGAGCATTTTTATCCCACATTTTAACTATCTTGGGGAAATATTTCCTCTTTCCTTGGTTGATTTCTGACTCTCATCCAACTATTGCCTTACATTTCTAATAGCCTAACCAATAATGACTCTCTGTTCCCCACTCTCTTTTAATATGACTGTTCTGCCTTGTTTTTTAACATGAAAAAAACATAAAAGTTCTGTTGTTTCTGTTGCACTGCTGAATCATCTTAACACTCTTATAAATAGCGATAGCGTAGAGGGATACATGTTTGTTATTGCCAAAGCTTTAAAAAAAAACTGTTGTTTTTGTGTGCCAGTGACGTGGCCCGGATCCAAATGAAGGGGGAGAGAACGATAGGTCAGCACTGAAGCAGTTTGGAGAAACTGTTGACTGATTCACTTAACTTTAAACGTCCGTAATTGTTCAGAACGAACACAAGCCAGGTCTGTATCCTGTGATATAGAGCAGTGTGTTCTGGCCATGTGTTTACTGCCATTAATATGGCTGTGGTGGGTGGAGAACAGCTGCTACGTGAGGAAAAAACCTGTAAGTGTCCAGTGAAACATTATCAACTACACAAGTTACACAATTAACAAACTATAAGATTAGTTAGAGGGGTCATGACAGGAGAAGTCAAATTCTCATTGATCTTTTTGACATTTAAGAGGTCTTGTACCGTTCAACATCTTGGAAATTGCATAGCTCTCACCATCGGTGCTCAGGCCCTACAAACAAAGCATTTATTTAATCAAGCTCAAAAATGGCTCGTTTTGATATTACGGGATCTGCGACGTCACACGGGTAAATGTATTTGCATATGACCGCCTCCAGAGCAAAACATCGACGAATAGTTCAGATCCTGAATGCACATCTGTATGCTGAATTGTTTCATTCAATCCTTTACAATAAATAGAATGGACGGTTAACGCCAATATAATTGCATACACTTGCTTTATTGAACACAACCAACCTGGCCTGTACCCAGCCTTCTGCAACAACAACCATCCCAACATCCTTTTTTTCAAATAACTTATAATATTAAGGACAATTTGATCACTTAAGAACTTCATGAACTGTAACTTAGAAAAGCATTTATATGTTCACTATACTTTGTATTAACTGAATTTGTAATGTCTCTATAAAGGAGTAGTTCACTTTTAAAAAAAACTTTTGCTGATAATTTACTCACCCCATGTCTTTCTTTCTTCAGTCAAAAGAAATTAACGTTTTTGATGAAAACATTCCAGGATTTATCAAAATGAACAAATCCTTTCCCGAGTCAATTCATTCGTTTCATTATTTGAATGAACCAAATGACACAAAAAAAGATTTGTTCATTTTGATAAACGAGTTCGAACAGGAGAGTCACGAACGTGCGTCACAGAACAGAGCAAGGCGTCCATTTGAGCTTATAAAACTTAAACTTTGTTATTTATTTAGTAAATGAGCGATCGTTTCGCTTGATAATACCCTATTCATCATTATCATTATGGTTTAAAGCCCTTTGCACTGAAACTGTCTTTTGAACCTTGAGCCATTTGGTTAGCAGTAAAGTGCATTATGGAGAAAAATCCTGGAATGTTTTCATCAAAAATCTTAATTTCTTTTCGACTGAAGAAAGAAAGACATGGACATCTTGGATGACATGGGGGTGAGTAAATTATCAGCTAAAGGTTTTTTTTTGTTTTGTTTTTTTTGTTTTTTTTAAAGTAAACTACTTTAATAACAAAATAAAGTTTTAAGTGTTAAACTCATATAAAAAATAAAGTGTCTAGTGTCATCTTTCAATCTATTCTTCCTCTTTTATTCTTTTTCTTCTCACAGAGGACTAAGCATTTCTGGGTTACTGAACGTAGTCTTTAAGGTAAGAAGGTCTGATCACTTTTCTTCCAGACTTTCTAACCTGCCTTTAAGTGCAAATATGGTTGTTGCAAACATATTATTATTGAGCCTGAAATGGTTGCATAACAAGAAGGAAAAGAACATTAAGTAGTTCAATGCAAAATTTTTCTTCCCAAGAAGTTTTTGCAGCGATTATCAAAAATGCTGTATCCCTGAGACTGCTCCAAAACCCACAAGTTTCGATTTGACAGATCAGTGTCGGCCTTCCAAACACTCCTAATTATTCCAATATGTAGCGGATGGAAAAAGCCAGCGTTGGACCGAGTAACTAGGCTACATGCATACTTCATTCATGGATCATGGTGTAGGCTGACACCAGATTGCATAACAATCCACTTTTTTCTAGCTCTGACTGCCATGAGACAGGCCGTATCCGGAGTGTACGTAGACAGCAGGACTCTGGAAAAAGTCTGGGACTGTGCAATGGCAAAACAATTGAAACCAGACAGAAAATGCTCTTGCAAATACTGATATGTTTACTTTGATGCACATTTAAAGAAGAAATTTAAACATTTATGAACACAGAGTTGACACCTAATATATGGTTTCCCTAAAGCTGTCACATTAAACTTCCTTAATAAACACCTTGCAAAAATATTTTTGTGATATTGACTGAATAGTTTAAAAGTGAATAGTCGAAGTGTGATTTACAGTTTTTTTTATATTAATACTTTATTGTCAGTATATCAGTATTGTCAAAGTCTGAAATTTGTTCGAACAGTGTCTATGTTTACAACAACCAACATACATTAAACATTGACATACACTTAAACCTCCCACATTATACATTCAATACTACACGTATACAACTGCAACACATTCAGTTCTTTGAAAAACTAAACAGGCTTGTTGAGTCAAGTATTTCTTGCATTTCAATGGTTTCATGCTCTTGGCATCCAATAATTCACAGAATAAAATGTTTTGTGGTTGACAAAAACTATCCTTGTTGCAAGGGAAGCTTGTTATTCAGCAAGGACATACATTGATCAAAAAGTAATAGTAAAGATTTTACATCGTTACAAAAGAAATCTATTTCAAATAAATGATGGAAAAAATACCACGGTTTCTACAAAAAAATATTAGGCAGCACAACCGTTTTCAACATTAATAATAATCTGTTCCTTAAAGGTGCAGTGTGTATTTTTTAGCGACATCTAGCGGTTTGGTTGCGAGTTTGCACTAAAGGCTCAGCCCACTGCTCACCTTTTTATCCCCATATAGCAAAGCCATAACACAACGAGGGAGAAGAGCTAAGTTACATGAAACAATCCAACTACAAACAGTATACACCACTGACAAGGGAAAAGTCACTACTCACAGTGTTTATGGCTTCAGGTTTCTGCTGCTTCTCTTTCAAGGTAGTGATGAAACGCGCTCTGTAGCACTGTTTGTTTGCGTTCGGCCACGGTACAAACATGACGTAGCAATATGTCAACCTTCATAGAAGGGGATGCCTGCGGTTATGTTGATATAAATGTCTCATTCTAAGGTAATAAAAACATTACGGTTTATTAAGTAAGTTCTTTATACACCAGTGAAAACATTATGGATTATGGTCATATTGCATTTCTGTTAATAGATCCTCAAAATTTTTACACATTGCACCTTTAAGTATCAAATCATCTTATTAGAATGGTTTCTGAAGGATCATGTGATACTAAAGACTGGAGTAATGATGTTAAACAATTCAGCAATGCATCACAGGAATAAATTACATTTATATTACAGCAGAAAACAGTTATTTTACATTTATATATATTTGACTAATATTTTCTGTTTTTACTGTATTTTTGATGAGCATAGGTGAGCATAGGAGACAAAAACATTAAACAAATTGTACTGACCCCAAGAATTTTCATTTGAAGTATTATGATACTCAGCATTCTGGGTTTATGGTTAGAAAATGTCTTCATAAATGCCCCTGAAATGTATTGCAGACTTGCTGTCTGCAACCCAATCAGAAAAGACCTGCAATCCATTTATGAGAGACCACTGCCCTAAAGCATCTAGCAAAAGTATGTGTATAAACACAAACAATCATGCACACAATCTGACTGATATTCTAGATTGCATTGAAATTCAATCAATGTGGATCTGCATGCCTGCAAGACACCGCAGATGAGGCTTTACACTATTCGACAGAGGCCTCGGTGCTCAGGGGAATTCCTCTGACATCTGATCTTCTGAATCTAGATGCTTGATGGAGGGGAGGGACAGCTGGTGGCTCAAACACTGCTGAGGATGAACAACTGCATTGTGCATCCATCACACACTTGGAAGACACACTTATACGCATACTGAAGAGAGAGAGGGGCACTTGTGAAAGAGGGCAACAGCAAAAAGCACAATAAGTACAACTTACTTAGTAAAATACTAAAATGTTATAAGCACAACTTACATACATCGACTATAACAACATTGGATATTTAGGGGTCTGGAATATCAAACAAGTCCCCCATGGATTGGGCTGTTTTTGTGTTTTTTCTTTTGTCGTCTGAGTAGAATGGATATGTGACTGTAAAGGGAAAAGCTGATCTCTGTGCAGATACTAAAGGGATCTGATGTAAAGAAGATTAATGAAAGCCCCCACACCCGCCCACAAGGTGAGTCTCCCCCAACAAGATAGTGGAGGATTACGAGTTTTAATCCCAGGGGCAGAGGCAATTACACTGTTTAGACTGAAAGAAACGAAGGCAATAACAGGTTTTAGGTCCTGAGGCATATTCATGGTGCAGAGGCGGTATTACTATTGCTATTATTATTACTACAAGTATTAAACTTCAGCTCATAATTTGCCCCAGCCCAGCATGTAAAGAAGTGGGCTACTTATTTTCTAAGCTATCTTTTGACGATAAATTGAGAATTGTTGTTTCAAACAGAGATCATGTTTCTGAGCTTGTAATCGATGTAATTGAGACAAACTTTAAAGGTGATTTGCTCTATTTTGATTGGAAACATCCGTGTTAAATTCCAAACATTAAACTTTTGTCCCAGTACTTCTGTGATAAGCAGAGTGATGTCATCAAAATCATTGATCTATATTGGCAGAAGTGAGAGAACGCTTATATTTTCTAAAAGCAAATTGTGTCATTGTTTTGGAGCACGCTAGCTTATAGATAACAGTAAGGCTAACATATTCATACTAAAAGACAAACAAGTTTTTTTCAACATGTAAAATAAGACTGTAGCGGCCCCTTGGATTTACTGATCAAGACGCAGAGAGTTTCAAACGGGTGTCGATTTATTTATGCCTCTCAACGTGCACCATGCACCATGAACACCGTGAAAACTACAAAATAAACAGAAGTACAAAATGCTTCAATGTAGTTTCACAAATAATTGCACATAAATAATGTTCACATATTAATCATGTTTACACACAATGCAAATCATTTTTAACTAACAACCAATATTACTATGAAATGTTTTTAAGCCTTTATGACAAAATATCACATGCTTTTACATGAAATACAATATGGTTGCTCACAGAGATGATATTGCTTGTATATTGACGACATGTGCAATTAACCATAAACAAATGAAGTAGTAAGATTTCTTTTCCTTAAAATCCCTTCTAATGACAATAAACTAGACACACTTTCATACCTCATTCCGCTATCCAAGGACGCTATTCAAATAGTTTCCACCATCAGCTATCGTGCTCTCGTGACACTCTCACAGTTCGTAGGTCTTAGAAATAACACGTACAAACAATACAAAATAATAAAATCACAATGAGAACACTTTCTTTACAAGAATCAAAGGGAAGAACATGAAAAATAACTACATGTTTAACAGTTTTACCGTTCTTCCGACGACACGTGAGCATCACATTATGAGGAGAGAGTGGCAGGAAGTTTTTTGCGTCACAAACACATTAGAAGAAGAAAATGCGCCTTTTTCAAAATAAAAGCCAAACAGACAAAGTGACACCGTAGAACTATAAATATAATAATAATATAATATAAAATATTTATATAAATGTAATACTATGTAAGATAATATTAAAGTGAATTATCAGACATTTACACTCCCACCAAATCCTAGTACCATGAATGAACAAATATACAGAGTGAATGAATTGTACAGGATTTCTTGACTCTAAGAAATGAATAGCCTTAACTTAAGCTATCAGAGGTGTAACTATATAGCCTCACAGATAATAAACTGGTGTGCAGTGATGTCGATTGCTTTCTTCTAATCAGTTCTCAAGAAGGAGCACCAATTTTTTGATCGGTCTCTCAATTACTGAGGGCTTGGATGGAAGATCCTGTTTTTTATAAGGTTTCCTCTCCCCAACTTGCACCTTAACTCGACGAACTAATCCATCACTACCTTGAACAGTCTCAATCACTCGTCCAAGCTGCCACTGATTTCTTGGGAGATGGTCATCTTTAATAATGACAATATCATTCACATTGAGGTTGCGCTGAGGTGAGTGCCATTTCTGTCGTATGGACAAGTTCAACAGATACTCCCTTTTCCAGCGGCTCCAGAACTGTTCAATAAGATACTGAACTCTTCTCCACCTCCTTGTCGCATACAGGTCCTCCTTGACAAATACTCCAGGAGGAGGAAGAGCAACTTTAGATTTCATCATTATGAGGTGATTCGGTGTTATAGGCTCCAGTGCCTGAGGATCATTGAGTCCATCCACTGTTAACGGGCGGCTGTTAACAATAGCCATGGCCTCATATAGCAGTGTTCTGAGGGAGGCGTCATCAAGTCGGCCTGGGCACTGTGCAAAGGTGGCATTCAACACGTTTCTAACAGTTCTGATCTGGCGTTCCCAGACACCGCCTGCTTGACTGTCAGAGGGAGCATTGAAAACAAATTCGCACTGCTTCTCAGTCAGGAAGATTTCCAGTTGCTTAGTGTCACATTGTTTAAGTGCTTCCTTGAGCTCATTCCTAGCGCCAACAAAATTAGAGCCTTGGTCACAGCGCAGTTGTTGAACAGCTCCTCTCAGGCTGATGAAGCATCTCAATGAGTTGATGAATGAGTCTGTTGACAAATCTTCGAGCATTTCAATGTGAACTGCTCTAGAGTACAGACATGTGAAAATCAAGCCGTATCTTTTGTATTCTTTGCGGGCTTTCTTTACAATAAAAGGGCCGAAACAGTCCATGCCACTGCATGTGAAAGGTGCTGAGGCTTCGACGCGTTCTTTGGGAAGTTCGGCCATTTGCTGTGTTTCTGTCGGCCGTCGCAGTTTTCTGCAAAACACACAAGCGTGTATCAGCTTGGCGACCAACTTGCTCCCACCAATTACCCAGAATCCATTGGCCCGAAGCTCCATTAAAGTCTGGCTTCGCCCCTGATGACATGTCTTAGTGTGGAAATGGGACACAATCAGCTGGGTGATGTGACTGTTGTTTGGTAGGATGACTGGGTGCTTGACTTTGTAACCTAGCGATGACTGGTTTAATCTCCCACCAACACGAAGAAGTCCTTCAGACAAGATAGGGTCAAGGCGAAAAAGAGAGTTTGATTTCGAAAGATCTTTTTTGCTCTGAAGCATCTTTATCTCCTGGGGGAAGGCTTGCTGCTGTACGATCTTAATCACTTCGTCTGCAGCCTTTGCACGCTCCTTAACAGTCACATACTCACTGTATTGTTTCTGTTTAGATCCCAACCTCTTGATTCTTGCCACCACTTTAAGAATTGTTGTCCAGAAGGAAAACTGACTCAAACGCCTGAGGATGTCATTGCAGTTTTTGACTTCAGTAGCAAGCACCTGAATTGTCTTGACCTCAGGATCCCCAACAAGTAATTCTGATGGAGCGCTGGGTGTTAGAAGTAATTCACGCTCCCAGAGAAACTTTGGACCACGCAGCCAGTTTGTTGCATGAATGTCTGAAGCACGAAGACCACGGGAAGCATGATCTGCTGGGTTTTCTGCAGTATCCACATAGTGCCACTGACTGGGATCACTGTTATCCCTTATCAGCTGAACACGGTTCGCAACAAATATGTGGAACCTACGGGCATCATTGCTAATGTACCCAAGCACAACTTGCGAGTCTGTCCAGAAAACCTCTTCGTCAATCTTCATGTCAAGTTCACCTCTTAACATGACACTGACAAACCACTGCTGCTGCGAGTTCTAGTCTTGGGATACTTGTGACCTTTGAGGGCGCAACTCTTGCTTTCCCCAACACGAGACTGCAATGGACTTCATCCATGTCATTTTTATACCTGAGGTAAGAACATGCACCGTACCCTACGCAGCTGGCATCCGAAAAATGGTGCAGCTCCACTCTGACAATGTTACGGAAGTCATATGGGTGGTAACATCTCGGAATTGAAACCTCTTTCAACCTGTGAAGCCCATTTATCCACTCCTCCCACCGTGGCTTCATATCTTCTGGGAGTGGATCATCCCATCCGATGCCTCTGTGACACAGCTCTTGAAGTATACGCTTTCCAGTTAGGCTGAATGGAGCGATGAACCCAAGTGGATCATAAAGAGAGGCAATGACAGAAAGGCAACCACGCCGGGTTGAAGGCTGATCCTTTAAGCTGCTGCTAAAGCTGAAAGTGTCTGTTTTAATAGACCATTGAATGCCGAGTGCACGCTCTGATAGGGTTGGATCAAGTCCTAGAGGTTTGATGGTTGCTGCTCTTTCTGAGGGATCTAAGGAGGCGAGGGCTGCTTCCTCATTTGAGTTGAATTTATGGAGGCGTAGACCTCCTCTTTTGCACAACTCCTGTGACTCAGTGATCAGTTTCTTGGCTTCCTCGACCGATGGGACGCTGACTAGCCCGTCATCAACATAAAAGCTCTTCTCTACAAATGTTGACGCTAATGGATAGGTAGCTTTGTGTTGCTGAGCCAGATGTTTCAAGCCAAAATTGGCGCATCCTGGGGACGAGGCAGCTCCGAAGAGATGAACCGCCATTCTGTATTCTTGTGGCTCCTTCTCCAAATCTCCACCTTTCCACCAGAGGAATTTCAGATAATTCCGGGATTCGGGAGTGACAGAGAACTGATAAAACATTCTCTCGATATCACAGATAATCGCTACGGCCTCCTTCCTGAAGCGGCAAAGAACTCCTACCAGAGGATTGATAAGATCAGGCCCAGTTAGTAGAGTGTCGTTTAGAGAGACTCCATGGAATTTGGCTGAACAGTCAAATACAACTCTCAGCTTGTCTGGTTTTCTGGGGTGATAGATACCGTGATGCGGAAGGTACCACTCAGTCTCTCCAGCAGATGTTGCAGGGGCAGGCTCTGCATCACCCCTGCTAATTGTTTCTTCCATGAATGTTTTGTATTGATCAAAATATTGTTTATTGGTCTTTAATTTCTTCTTAAGGCACTGCAGTCGAACCGTGGCTAGCCTCTTGTTGTTCGATAGTTTGGGTGGACTGTTGCCCTTGAAAGGGAGGGGCATCTCATAATGTCCATCTTTCTTCTGCGTGATGTTGTCACTGAGGAACTGTATAAAATGAACATCGTTCTGTGACACATATTTATCTTCATAAGTTCTCTCTGTGAAGTCTGATTCTAGGGCCTTTAGAACATCTGTTGCCAATGGAATTGGCAGTTCCTTTACTGTGAGCCGATGCACAAAGCTCTGACTTCCTTGTCTGTCTAGGTGAGGGTTTGATGAGCCTATGATACTCCATCCTAGATTTGATCTCTGTGCAAACGGTTGATTTTTCTCACCAATAATAACCTCAAGAGGAGCCAGTGCTGCTGGACAGTCATATCCGATCAGGAGCCCTACATCACAGTCTTGAAGGGGTGGTAGCTTATCTGCCAGATGTCTGAGATGAGGCCACTGTAATGCTGTTTCCTTTGTTGGGACATAAGACTTGTCCACCGGAATAAAGTCACGACTGTAAGCCTGCTGCACTTGGATGTGGTTCTTAGAATGCAGTCCTCGAACTTGTAGACCATGGACGTTTTTGCTAGATATGATTGTGTCAATAGCCGTCATAGTACTCAATTTTAGTTTGACTGGTTGGGCATCTACATTCAGCTTGTCAAGTACATCTTCTAAAATAAACGTTGAGTCACTCTGGGTGTCCAGTATTGCGTACGTAAGTACTTCTCTGTGTGGCTCTTGTATTGAAGACACAAGGACTGGGACGATACTTGAGGTAGCGGAAGCACGTTGTGTTGATGTATGGGATACGACCTTGTGCGTTTCAAAGCTTGCATGGTTTTCTGTGGAAGTGGTGCTATTCGTTGTTGCTTCCACAGGTCTTTGTTTCCTGTCTTCGTGCAAGCAGGTTGGGTGACGACGGCTGCATATGTTGCATGTGTGTCGCCTCTTACACTCTTTGGTCATGTGACCCTTCCTCAGGCACCCAAAGCAGAGCCGATTTTCACAGATGAATGCTCTTTTGTCTTCACTACTTTTTGCTGCGAAGGTGGGACATTTGGTGATGTTATGAACTTCACTTTTACAGACAGAGCAAGGTGATTTTGGTTTACTGCCATGTGTTTCTTGTTTCTCCTGAGCGAAACTCTTTGTTTGTGTGTTTGTGTTGAAAGCTCTGGCTCTCTTTGGTAATCTTTCCTCTGTTGCCTTGAAATTCATCAACAATGGAGAAGCAATAGGGTTACAAGCTATCCGCGCCTCTTTGCTCAGGAACTTTGTAAAGCATGCAAGATCTGGATAGCTGCCAGATGTGTCAAGTTCCTCTACAACAATTCGACTCCACTTGCGCACAATCCATTCCGGTAGTTTTTTGAGCAACTTGTGGTTTTCCTCACAATCGTTAAGGATAGCTAGTCCTTTGACATGTGGGATTGCCTCAGTGCAGCCTTGAAGGAAATCGGCGAACGCTTGTAGTGCTAGTGGGTCGTTTGTGTTGATTTTCGGCCATCTCATGAGCTTATCTCGGAACGCCTTTTGTATGATGAACGGGTTCCCATATCTGTCATGTAAGACTTTCCATGCTCCATGGTATGCACTATCTGAATCTCGATAAAAGAAACCTTCTACAGCTTTGCGCGCCTCTCCAGCAAGATAATTTTTGAGATAAAACATCTTTTCACTTGGTGGGAGGGGTTTTCTGTCAATGAGAGATATGAATGACATCTTCCAATCTGTAAACTGTAAAGGGTCACCACTGAACGTGGTTGGTTCAGGAACTGGCAAGCGGTTCATGCTTAATGAGCTGGCGATTGCTTGGGCTAGACTGACAGATTCTTGGGTCATTGTCCCTTCAGGAGCAGCTTGGTGAGGTTGGAAGGATGCAGCATCAGGATTTAATCGAGGTTCAGTTTCCGATTTGTAGCGAGCAAAGTAAGTTTTGTCAATCCCCTCATCATGGTTCTCAGAACCTTCAAAATCATCATATGCTCTCACACGCGCTGTTGCTATGGCAACGTCTTTTGCTGCTTGTAACTGCTGCAATTTGGCTCTTTCTTGATCCAACTGTTGTTGCATTTCTACCTCCTTTTGTTTCATTTCTACTAACATTTTCGCCTCTTTAAGTTTCCATTCATTCTCTAACTTGTGAAGATGTGCTTGCTGTGTTTGGATTTCTTTCATGGCTTTTGATTGTTCCAGCTTAGCCGCAAGTTCTGCTTGTGCATTTACTCTACTGCTGTTGGTACTGGCTGAGCTGGAGTGGTTGCTAAGTCTCTCTGGTGACTCCGCTGAGCTTACCGTTTCAGTTTTAGTGTGGCCAAAGACAGATCCATATTCTTCTTTGTTTAATGTTTCTCTTACTCTTTCCTTCTCAAGTTGGTCATTATAATCTTGATTAATAGTCTCTAAACGGTTACTTATGAGATCACAAATGTCTTTTGTTAGCGTAACACAGGCATCCATTTTCTTTACAATCTCTGGTGTTGTGTTACCGTTGCGTAGGATAGGTTCATACTGCTGGCTTACGTCACCATGCTTCGCTTGAATGTCTTTCTGTAATTCATTAAGGTCTTCTGGTGAACAGAGGGTCTTTAATTTTTTCCTAGTCTCCCTTGCTATTAGCTTCCAAGCGTCATAGGTCTTGTTAAATGCTTTCTCACGTTTTCTGGTGTCTTGGTCATGCATCTCTTGGCCTTTCTCTGTTAGCTTTCGTTCACGTGAGCTGGACCTGACTGCTGTGTCTTTAAGCGACATCTTGTTTGTTTGTGCTGCTGCTTTAAGTCGAGTGTAACCTTTGATTGTCCTATGCCTGAATTCACACTTGTAAGCTGTAGTTATCTTTTACCACAGAGTAATGTTACCAAGCACTTACAGATTATGGACATCCAAAAGGATTTTTATATAAAACAGTAACAACAATTCACCCTTTTCATAAATAAACGACACAAGCACTTTGGTCTTGAAATAGTCACAATTTTTAGAAGCGTTGGGAACTGAGAATTAGCTCACCAGTTATTTTGACCTTATAATGCCACCTTATTATTTCAGTCACTTCAGTTACGCTGTACGTTTGACAAGAAATTGTCCATTTTTTAGCGTTCTTGCTCCTTGGCATCCAGTGTCTCTTTTTGCATTCCTAGTTGTACCTTAAGCATGCTGTTCATTTCAAGTCTTGCCTGG